CTGTAGCGTCTAGCTGCTCCGCGTCAAAGTTTGGACAATGCTCTGCGTCTGCTTCATTTTGCAGCTCATAGTCTCTCAGATAGTATCTTCCTGAACGTAAACTCATGTTTGCTCACTGTTGTTCTATGTTGCTTAAACTATTATGGACGCTGTAGGAGAGAGGAATAATGTTGTGGGACAGACAAAAAGTGAGTAAGAAAAACCCTAGATATGCTCCGAATTACAAATAAACTTTCTTGTGTTGATTCTTGGTTTGTTTCTTGTTTTTTTTATTTTGCCATTGAAATAGGCCATCACTTCACAAAATAACTTCATGACTAATGCTTTGTCTAGACCCATATTACATAAATCAATTTGGTCCTGTATTGTTAATTGTTAGAATATTGGATTTACTTAAAAGACTATTATGTGGGGTGGAATTGCTAGCTCTACGTTCAGCCCTCCTCCATTATTCGGGCTTGGGACCGGCAAAGTGACCCAAAAAGACACTCTGGCAGAGTTACTTAAGTTTTTTTATATCTTGGTTTTTTGTTTTTTTTTTTGCTTTTTAGGTTTTTTTGTTTGTTTTGTTTTTTGTTGTTGTTGTATATATGACTGTCATATATTAGTCATATATGAGAGGATGATCCTTTCATGTATGACTAATAAATGCACTTTAATTGATCAAATCATACATGACAGTATCAGCCTCTCGTATATGATTTGATTGTATTTATAAAACTATATATTAATCCTTATATATTCATTATAATGGTCTAAATCTGGTTTAAATGTCGACTCGTGGCAGACCATCATGCTCAGGAACAGATGGACCCCCAGGTTGAGGCCAAGATGGACCCACGCTGGGTTCGTCAACCTGTGAACAACCATCTTCCTGAGACAGCCTCACATCAGTACCACTGGTATCTGTGAGGGGGACCACAGTTGGCAGTTCTACCACAGCTGACGTTTCTACCACAGCTGGTGGTCCTTCCTGAGTTTGCAGTTTTTCCTGAGGCTGCAGTTCTTCCTCAACGGCCTCTGCTGGTCGGGGCCACCCAAGGACTTTCTTCATAAACCAGGACTTAACTTTGTCTTTTACAGGCTTCCTGGCCTTCAGGAGGTGATTGCCTTTCTCAGCTAGTTCTTTTTTTAGTCCAGAATTCTTCTTGCGAGCTTCATTTGCTATTCTGAGCAGTTTACTTGTGTCTTGCTCAAACTTGACATCGCTGTCATATAAACGTTTCTTCAAGCATTTGATCTCATTGTCTTGATTTTTGTGGACTTTTTCAAGCATTTCAACTTTCTGCCTGAGCCCATCAATAATGCCGTGCTTGCCTTCATCATCTGAAGCGTCTGTTTTTTTTGACACAGCAGGTGCTTGGCGCCTTTCCTGTTGCATCACAATTACTTAATATTGTAGTTTGCTCTTCTCTTGTTTCAGAATATTTAGGTTTTCCTGTAGTTTTTTCAAGAAGTCATCTTTTTGTTTGATTTTGACATTTAGCTTTTCTAGTTTTTAGTTGCCTCTATGTATTGCTTAAAGCTCTCCTTCTCTTCTGTTAACCTTTGCACTTGTGTGTCCTTACTTTTACCTACCCCCACCATTTATTTGTAATCGCACCTCATAACGTCATACTTCTCTTCTTTGCCTGCAAAGTAAGCGGTCTGTTCATTAAGCTCTTTTTGCAACTTTTGCAAGTTCTGATGACTAATCATAAGTTTCTTGTTTTTATATTGAGATGAATGAAATTAAGGTCCATTTTATCTTCTTTGTGGCGCATTTCAATGGCAACTAGAGCGCTCAAAGTATGTTCTTCTTGAGCTTCAGCCATCCACTTTTTGATGAGCTCAGTTAAACGTTTCACTTTCAGTTTGTGTTTGGAATCTCTTTCACAGAACTTTTTCTTTAATGTGGAACATGTGTCACATTTCTGTTTTTGTTCCATCCTTTCAGTTGGTACTTGCAGCTCTTCAGAGAGTTTCTCTATTTTGTCCTGCAGCTGCCTGCATCTCACTTCAGAGTCACTATTCTCTTTTTTAGATGGCACACTGCCATCTCATGCTGCTCCTGGTGGTCCAACAGACAGGAACGTCAGGAGGTATAAGAAGGCTGCACTGTAATTCCTACAGCACTACATGTACAGTTTTCCCTAAGGAGATTGTCTTATGTTCACATTTCTACTTATGTTTTTTTTTGTTTTGTTTTTGTTGTGCTATGCAGTGCTGTCTTTTCCTTTCTGTATCACAATGTCATGGTCTGTCAACAAATTACAGTAAAAACAGTAAAAGCGTCAATGTGAATGCAATTATTTTGCCATGCGATTATGTGCAATTCTCGGCTGTTTCCTACGTTATCAATTGCTTCTGTCATGTTGATCAAAATGTATTATAATGGGTCTCTATTGAATTGTCTCACCCCCCACAACATTTAGGCATTAGTTCATTGCATAAGTCTTTACATGCAAAATGGTTGAACAAGTTGTCACGATATGTCAAGCATATTTCTATACATTTCCATTAGACTTTTTTTTTTTGTAAATCTGTCCTGAATTTTTAAATTGCTCCCAGGTGAATATTGACTTTCTCTAATGAAGGGAAATGTGTGTAGCATTACATGATCAACCAGTTTTCTGAAATAGCTCAAAGGTGCATCTTTTGAACCATCAACTGGCAAGTATAATTATAGCCGGAGCAAAACGCAATGTTACAATGTCTGACAATGGAAGGGCAAGGAATTGGACGGGGTCAACAGCCAGAGAGGAGAAGAGGAAGAGGAGTGAGGCTGCATGGCAGAGGAGTTGGGAGGCAAAACAGAGGAAGAGGCAGAAGAGGCCAAGGACATATGCGCGTTCCTGCTCATTCTCAATCATGGGCTTACAATGGCCGAGGCTGGTCGAAGGGTGCAGATAAATGTTGGACGAACAACTGTGTCCTCAATTATTCCGAATTTTCATTGTCAGAACAGGTATGTAATCTACCAATGGGCACTGTAATACTGTATACTTTATGTAATGCTTCATACAATATTACAGTATTCCACTTGCATTCCACTTGGGCCATACAATACAGAGCGTCTTGTCACCTTTTTAGACACTCTCCACAGTGATCCCATCCCTGAACAAGAGAGGGGTCAGATTGGAGATGACTTGCCAAAGTATATGATAGTTTGGGACAATGTCAGTTTCCATCACTCCAACATCATCAGGCAATGGTTTGCGACCCACAACAGGATGCTGATAGCATTTCTCTCACCCTACTCCCCATTCCTTAACCCCATTGAGGAATTTTTCTCAGCATGGAAATGGAAAGTGCATGATCACCAGCCACTTACACAGATGACCCTTCTGGCTGCTACGGATGCAGCATGTGATGACATCACAGCAGATGCCTGCAGAGGCTGGATAAGACACTTTCTGTACCGCAATGACATGGTCTGTCAACAAATACCAGTACAAACAGTAAAAGCGTACATGTGAATCTTGTCCAGTCTCTTGCAATCAATCTCCCACATACAATAAGGTGTAACTCACAATTTCCAATAATTGTTATCAAAGATTCAGCCATAGTTTACATCAGAACATCCCTCCAGAGTACGCTGTTGTACTGACAACATGACTGAATAATTTGACTATCTTATCCGTACACATTGATACAAGGACTTGTCATTCTGATGGCACTGACATGTTCATTGACACAGATATTTATTTTTGAGAGATGAACTAAGGATTTTTGAGCAAGTAACTGTGTTTTGTAGGTGATCCATGGTGTTTTGCTATTTGTGCGAATTGTTTTGAGAAATGCCCTTACTGTTTTGCAAATGTCAAAAAAAAAAAAAAAAAAAAAAAAAAACTGGACAAGAACAGGAATATTCTTGCAGCTAGGGTTACAGTAAAATAACAAACAAAAAAAAAAAACACAAATAAAAAATATAAGAATTTGCCATACTTAAAATACATTAATTTTATACACACATGAGCGTGCACATACGCACATATGTATATATATATATTTTAACAATTTACTGTCCCCCCCCAATCACAAGGAAATTAGTTAATTTACTGGTTAAATCTATAAAAACAAAATCAAAATAAAATAAAATAAAATAAAACTGGCCAAAACTAAAAATAATGCCGACATCAAAGATCTGTGTTTTTGTAAATGATCTAATGGTTTATAAAGTTGACTGTAAAATTACACTATTGTGTTCTGTATTTTAACCAGCAATACATTGTTTAACAGATTTTTGCCATCATTTGAAAGAAAAATTATCACTGTTGAGTGTAAAGGATATGAAAAATAATTTGAATATATTTGTGGTTTTAATTCAGCAGATCTTTAAGGAAATTCCTGGTAAAAACAGCAACTTCCCAGCACAGCTATACATGGGTGTATTTTAAAATAATCTTTTTAAGACATACTAAATCAACCAGTTTCTAAACAAAAAAAAAAACCATCATGACCTTCCCTCTGTGTCTGTTTCAGGCTGTAGAGTTACAGAGTGATACCAGAACATCCTGAACCTCTGATGTTTTTAAATTTAGAATCATAGCTGTTCTTGAGCTGCTAAATTGCCTTTTGGTTAACCTTGTAACATTTAGTTATGAAGAGTGAAAAATTGTAAAGGCTAAATGCTGTATGATCTTTCATTTCAAATAAAAATAGAAATTTTAAATTATGTTTTGTTAACTTTTTCTTTATTAAACCAATAAAAAAATCAATATGCTTGATTCCACCTTCATTTTCAACTCCTGCTGTTTCTGACTTTTGTCATTGTAATATTCTCATAAAAGACCTGTATGACAGTTATGGCATGAACAAGCTGGGATGATGTCATAGAGGGAGGGTGCAGCAAGGCGGTGTAGTTTAACACTATCAGTTATTTGCACATGTCTATAAGTGTGTGCATGCTTTTTGCACATGCAGTGTCAGAATTCCTCTCTGCTGTATTGCAGCTTAGTGTATCACATTTAAAGCTCTTTGTTACATTAAAACCTTTTATTTTCCTTCAAGATGTTTTTTTCTATCTTTGTGGTCATTCTGGGTAAGCTGATCAACACAAACTGCACTACAGTTCACCTAATATTTCACAATTCCAAACTCTTGTAAACTTTTTTTTGTTTGTTTTTTCCTATCGCTGCAGGCTTGTGCTTCTGCAGCAAGGAGAGCAGTAAGTTAGCTTTATGATTTGTATGTGTGTGGTAAATGAATGTAATTTTGTAGCTGAGGATTCTTTGTGTTGAGTGTTTGTGCAGTTTTAGTTTATTTTTCTGCAGGTCCATCATTTCTGGGGCGTCCACAGCTTTACGGCCCCTCGGAGGCTTTGGCTAAAGAAGTTGTAGACTTTGAATGTAAAGTGTTGGACTACCCGAAAGATGAAGAAATCCTGCTGCAGTTATTCAAGTGAGCACATTCAATTTGCTCTCTGTATTAAAATGTTTTAAGAAATGATTGCAAATTCTTCAAATTGTCAACTTTTTCTAGGGTGGATGACCGTAGCCGGATGTTGGGTGAATACACCTCGCTGGAGGGGGAGGTCGCAGTCATTCCCATAGTGGTCAAAACTTTACATGAGGGATCCCTGGTGTGTGTGGCCAGTGCACAGAATAACTCAGAGATAGTTCCTACTGCCAGCCACCCACACTCCCTGAAGGTTGTTGGTGAGTTTTATAAGTAGCCTGCCTGTATCAGCATCATAGAGCATTTTATATGTTCATGTTTATCCAAGCTTTATGTTGTCTTCTGCATTTACTATCATGTCACTGCTTTTACTGTAAGCTCATTTTTGACCAAGTCTCTTTTTAAAAACAAAACTTTTACCTGGTAGAACTGAAGCCAGCCAGGGCTTGGTTAAAGTAGATATTTTAACTTAAAAAAATATATCATTTTCACTGGACCACAAAATTAACTGATGTTAAGTTTGTCTGCAACTGACATCAAAATCAACTGCTCTGTGAGGCAGCATGTGGGACTTAAAGTTGGTAAAAGTTCACTTTTGAACATTGCTCACCTACTTTCTAGCATCTGGGTCCATGTTTTGCAGCCCATGTTGTCATGATAGCATGGAAATAAAACCACAGACTGTATATAGAAGATGGACGTAACCTCCAGGGGCCTCATTTATCATCAGTGCGTACGTACAGATATGTGCGTAGAGCGTGCGTACGAACATTCCTACGCAAAGTATGGAATTTATCAACTTGTACTTATACGTAGGACTGTGCGTAAATATACGCACACCTCTGACCATGCGTACGCACGTAATCTAGCGGTAGAACAGTGAAACTACAAATAGAAAGCTTTCATGGATTTTGACCACCGGCACATTCCAGCATGAGGTTGGAGACATATGCATTTCCAGTCATCACTGAGCAGGATCAAGCCGGCAGTGTTGGATGCCATAACTCCCCTGGCCTCAGCCTACATCCAGTTCCTTTACAGTCATCACCAACGAGCCCAAATCAAACTGGGACTTAACGCCGTCGCTGGATTCCCAAACATAAGTGAAGCCATCGACTGCACCCACATCGCATTCAAAACAGCATCACTACACAAGCTTAATTTTGTAGATAGAAAAGGGTTTCACTCAATCAACGTACTGATAATTTGTGATGCGCATTTGTCGCTATCCAACGTTGTTGCCCGGCGGCTTGGAGGAATGCACGAGTCATTCATTGAGCAGAACAGCTCTGTGGATCTCCAAGCAGGAGCTGCTGAAGACGGTTGGCTTATTGGTGAGTGTGGAAATGTTTTAGCTGGACTTTATTTGGTTATTAAAACAAGTCATCTGTAGTGATCAGGGTTATCCACTGGGTGAACGTTCGGTATTAATTTGTCCTCCTCCAGTTGCAGCCATTTCTCTTTTATGGACAGTGATGCGTTTTTTTGCACTGAGCTTAACGTCAAACCACTTTTTAAAATTTTTGCCGGCGATCTCTCCTCTGACCCAACAGAAATAACTGCGGTGGTTATCTTGTCCCATGCAGTATTTTTTTCTTTCGCTGCTTATCCCAACATTTCACGCACCAAACAATATTTTCTGGTTTGCTTCAACCTCTCTGACAAGTACCTCGATCTCAGTTTCATAAAAGTTCCTCTTTTTCGCCGTTTTTGCCACGGTGATGACGACAGGTGAGGAAAAAATAAATCTTCACTTGCTTTATAAAGAGGCGTGTTATTGCCCTATATGGTGATTTGGAGGCATTCCTGAAGGCAACGTGCACGAGCACGGAGGTTAAGAACAAGTGGGATTTGTCAACACTGATGTGCGTACGACCCCTGTACGCACGTTTGATAAAATACGGATTTTTTTGTACTTAGGCACACTCTAAATTTCATTCGTACGACAGAATTTAGAACCTTTTCTACGCACTGATGATAAATGAGGCCCCTGGTCTGAAAAGTGAAGCCACTGCAGAGATGGGTTAGACCTGCTTGCCTTCTAACAGCCATTAGGGAGAGACTCCTTGGGTTGCAAATAGAAGTCAAGGGTCTTTTGTGGATTGAGCATTGCTTTTAAGGTTGCTGCTGCAAGAAGTTGTGGGACAGCATTATCTTCTGTCCTTCTGTAAAGTATAGACAACTTTGTAACAAGCATTCCTCACATTCTTTAGATTTTTCACATCAACTGTATGCAAAAGAGGGCTGCAAGGTGGCTCGGTGGTTTGCATCGTTGCCTCCCAGCAAGAAGGTTGTCGGTTTGCGTCCCGGTGAGGACACCCGGGATCTTTCTGCGTGGAGTTCACATGTTCTCCCCATGCAGTGTGGGTTCTCTTGGGGTTCTCTGGCTTCCTCCCACAAGGTCCAAAAACATGTTGAGGTTAATTGGTAATTCTAAATTGTCCGTAGGTGTGAATGTGAGTGTGCTTAGTTGTCTGTCTCTAAGTGTGGCCCTGCGATAGACTGGCAACCTGTCCAGTGTGTCTGCTAAGTTAAGGTAGCATGGATGTTTAATTGCATTCTTTCCATCAACCAGCACGAGGCGACTCCTCTGGTAATAAGTCTGATTGTATAGAAGTATATGAGAAAACAGCTTTACAGCTCTACTTCTAACTTGAATTGGTATCTCAGTAAACATTTCGCTCATGAGTTTATGGTCTCAATCACTGGTTTTAACTCTCATTCAATACAGCATGATCTTCATTTTGTAAAATCCTATTTCCATTGAGGGTAAAATAGACAAAAAAGTAGAAATTTAGGGTGTGGCTCCCTTGCGATTGGCATGCAGTCAATGAATACAATTTACTTTACTAGACTCTGGGGAGATTTTAACATATACGAAATATCAATGCATTACAGAGTCATAATGAAAGGGTATAAACAAACTTTTCTGCAGTTGGAGGCATCTTGACAACAATCCTACAGACATCTGATTTAAAATGGTTGTCTGAAAACAAAATATTTTTGGGGTCAAATGGGATTTTGATATTGCAGTACTAAGAGTGACCACTGGAAAAGGTTGGCAGTAAGGCCAAGTGGCAGCATCGTAGCGGCTTCCTTTATTCATTCACTGGCTGTAGGCACAGTGTTGCTTTGAGTTCAACGGCAATATCATACAGTCATGCTCACAATGAGAATGCTGTGCTGATGTTCAACAGGTACAATAGTTACCAAAGCCTGACTGATAAATTGGTTGGCCAGTATTATCAATTAATATTGGCTTGTCACTGATATTTTGGTACTGTTGTATATGTTGTTGTATTTGCCGATCTGAAACCTTTTATTTGCATAACATAATACAGAATGTGATGCTTGTTGTCATTTAGACATAGTTTTTCAAATTTTTAACTCATAACTAAAATGTTGCATTGCTAGCATGACTAAAAACCAGCAGAATCAGTTTTGGACACCAAGTTTCCGAGTTCAATGATAAGAAAGATGCAGCAAAAAAACAATTAAGAAATCAGTTGACAATATAATTATCAACAGATCCTAAAATCACTCTCTGTGTTTTTGAAATCAAGAGGTCAAATTTAGAAAACAATCGATCCTCACTGTGCTAACAATAAGAATTCCTACAGTTTTAAAATAAGACCAGGATATCAATCTGTTGCCGTGTCTGTCCTGCAGAGCCAGTGAATGGTGCACAGATTGTCCATTCAGGTCCAGTGGAGCTCTATGAGGGGAATACACTGGAGCTACACTGTGAAGTCACTGCTGGAAATTATGTCTCCTACAAGTGGCTGCTCGATGGTCAGCTCATCTCTCAGTCTCCTTTCCACTATGTTGCAGAAAACCACCTCAGGATCAGCAGGTCAGTGGAATATCATTGAGACAATCCTGCAGGTGCTACTGTTCCAATTTGTCTGCGAGCATGTGTAGATCTACAGTGGTACCAGGTGGTTGCTATGGTGTTTCTGGTGGATGTTAAGGTGCATTAATTTGTGGTGTGTAAACATTTTAAAAGGAATAACGTACTTATTGGCCTTTTTCCTTAAGTTATCTTTAAAACTGATACCAGTCTGAGATTTCTGTGTTACTTATGTGGCTAGAGTTAAAGATTTTATTTGTTTTCTGGGATTTTCCTCTTACTTCAGTATGTTCTTCTAACAACCAACCAAGTACATAACAACCAACCAACTTAAAGCTGCAGTATAACTTTTATATTCAAGTAACCACAGTAATAAAATTAAAGCACATTAATATGGAGCAAACTTACATGGACCTATTAGTTGGCAAGAAAACAGTTATTTGAATATTAAGGAGTAATTCACATATTAGGGATTGACTTAAATTAGCCGGGGCTACACTTGTGCAACAATTTCCCTGTGGCACCCACCAAAGGGATCAATAAAATTCTATCTAATCTAATCTCTAAAGAGTTACATTTCAATGACAAATGAAAGATAAAATTGAGGTTTTTATGAAGAACTAACACTTATAATTGCTCTTACATAAGCTATTCATTGGCATGACATAAATACTGTCATGGCATAGATTAAAGTACTAAAAATCTGTCCAATACTACCCAAGAAAAAAGTCACAAGTGCTCAAAGAATAATAGTCTGTGTCACCCTCAGGACTTCTTCTGAGGACAGCGGCTCCTACATGTGTGTGGCGACCAACACTTTCAACAAAACAAGGGTCTTCAGCTCCTACAGCTCTGAAGTTGTGTTTATTGTCAAAGGTTAGCTGTCATATCTGGTACAGAAACTGTCTTGGTGCAATTTTTTTAGGAGATATGAAATGGTTTATATGGAATACAACAAAATAACATCCTTCTATGTGTTGTTCCTTCAGACTTGGTGTCAAGCCCTAACGTCTCCTTTACTGTGCTAAAGGAAGACTCCCAAAATTATTCTGCTGCGGTCACCTGTAAGTCAACAAGAGGAACTCCTCCCATCACCTTTTCCCTCTACAATAGGACAGAACTGATCACAAATATGACAACTGATGATAGACAAGCTACATTTAAAGTTCCACTGGTCCTGGACAAGCACTTAGGATACTTCCAGTGCCAAGCAAACAATGGAAACCGAACCGCATACAGTCAGCGGTTGCCTTTAGAAGTTGGTATGTCACTTGTTTAACAGTAACACTGCAGCCGGCATTACTTTTTGCACAATACTCCATTTTTTTTCTTCATATCTCTATCAACAGTTCCAGTTGGTGGGTCAGTGATGATGCAGTACGACTTTGACTTTGGAGAAAACTATGCCATCGTAGGTCTGAGGTTCTACTGCAAGTTAGAGAAGGGATCTCATCCGCAGTTCCAGTGGTTCCTCAACAAAACACGTCTACATGACAGAGGAAGCTTCTACTACGTATGGAACCAGCATCCAAAACAGTCTATGCTCCAGCTGTCTGTCGGGAGGAGCAGCACTGGGACATACCACTGTGAAGTGTCAGACAGCTTTGACAACACCACTGCCATAAGCAGCAAGAGGCAGTATTTGGATAAAGATGGTACAGTTGACCTGCTGCTGTTGTACTGAGTAAAACATCCTTGTGACAGCTGATTCCATCTTTACTTTACTTTCTGCTCCTGCAGTGCTGAACCGCCTTCCCATCTTGGTGGTGGCAGTTGTCTTTGGATGCTTCACAGCCCTGATTCTTATGGTGTCCATTTGTTGCTGCATTGGAGTGATGTTCAGTGAGTTCAGTGTCTGTTTTTATTTGGTGTTGCTCCTACTCATTTCCTACTGAGAAATAACAAAATTAACTCTTCTTTCAGGGCAGAGGCAATATGGAGAGAAGTCTCTGTGAGTTATTTCTTTGTTTTTTTTTTTTCTGCCTCAAAAAATGATAACCACATCCTAGGCGCCTCAGTAGAAGGCAGCTGGAATTTCTTTTTGGGACTTGAAGATGTTTCACTTCTCTTCCAAGAGGTTTCTTTAGTTCTGACTAACTGATAGGGAGTCCCAGATATACATTGTCACCCCAAAATCACAGGGCTAATGGCCCAGTAGGTGTGAATGGTTGTGAAACTGCCAGGTGAGGAATGACTCAGGGAGTTAATAGTGAAACTTTTTGAGGGGAGAGATCTCAAGACTGCATTATAAGTAGCTGATAAGTGGTGTTGTAGAACTCCTCCTCTGTTTAGAGATGGCTGTTCCAGTTTAACTAAGACAGCTTCCTTCTCTCCTTTTTCAAACCATCAGTCTTCTCTTTCCAGAAACTAAACATTTCAGTCCTCAAAGGAGTTTCCCTTATCCTTTAGATACAGGTGGACACTGAGTTTTATCGGTTGATTAAATCTCCCTATAGGTCTGAGCACTCCTCGCTGCATTGTAGTGCATATTTAACATTGTTTAGCTTGTGTTTGGGTGTTTTAGCCTGAGGGAGAACCAGTTTTTGTCTCAGAGTGTTGCTGAGTTTGCTGGATTTACTGAACAAAAGGTGAAATGTCTCCAAGAACCTAAAAGAGAACCAAAACCTTCAAGAACCAAGAATGAAAAATCCAGTTGCTTCCTGTTGAACCTGTTATGATTACCACAACCTGGAAGAATCTGCACAGACATGATGACCACAGTTCCTATGAAGTTGCTTCCTCCTCTTGCAACAAGAACTGTGCTGCTTAATCCTCAGTCAGGTTTTCTTTTTTGCTTTTTTTCTGAGAAGTAACAATTTGGCAGTTAATGATTAGATTAGATTGGATTAGATTAGGTTAGATTAGATTAGATAAAACTTTGTTTATCCCTTTGGTAGGGTACCTCAGGGAAATTGTTGTTCTAGCAGCAGCACAACACCAACAAAGACATTAGCANGGGCATGGTGTGTAAGGGGCCGGAGGACGTGGTGTGTAGGGGGCGTGGTTTGCTGCGGCTTCGGGGACAGCACCGGCTGCAGTCAGGTATTATTGCCTGAATCGGCATTGACATCTTCTTCTTCTTCCTGTTTTATTGGCGCGCATTGCCTTCTTCATCTTCTTCTACTGCTTCTCTACCTGTGCACCACCATACCAACAGCAGGCGGGGGATTGGTGTGTAAGGGGCCGGGGGGGCGTGGTGTGTAGGGGGCGTGGTTTGCTGCGGCTTCTGGGACAGCACCGGCTGCAGTCAGGTATTATTGGCAGGATCCGATCCAATAGGAAGGGTATGTCTGCAGAGCCGGAGACCGCATGTACAGGGCTGCTCATAGAGGGCTGCACGTAGAGGGCTGTTCTCCTTTTCTACGGCAGTATAAGTGCACGGCTTCTAGTTCGGGTGCGCGACGTAGTTTTAAAGGGGGATTGCACTCAAAATATACTTCCAATTTAAAAAAAATAAAAAAATTTAAGAAGAGTATTTTTAACCTGTTTCCGCTCCCATGGCCCGCTGGCGGGATGTGACCACTTTCTAAAAACTTTGCAGCCATATGTGCTCGCTCCACAATCACGTTTCCCGACAATATACACATCAAATGAAAGCTCAGAGTCTCCTCTTTCCGATGATATAAACCTTTTTGACCTGCAGCAACCACAGCGTTGACACAAAGAGCTTTTTGTACAGAAAAGCAAAATGTTAAAATCCGACTTTTCTTACTTTTGAAGGCTCTCTGCAGCTCAAACATTGCTCATTCCTCACCAGCTTGGTCTCATTCTGTCCGGACAGAACCAGTGAACATAATCCCGTAAAATAATTTGGTCCGTAAAACGCATTAGATCCTCAAAGGCACAAATTCTGAAATAATATCTTCCCAGCTTGAGATCAGCTGTTTTATTCATTTCTTCTGGCAAAATCAGGCTGAATCTATTTTAGATCGCGTTGAAAGCACTACAGTCAGCTAGACGGACGTCTCAGCTTTTTGATTGACACCTAGTTTGGCCAATACGAGGGCTTTGGGGGTGAGTGACAGCCTGAAGAGCCAATGGAGTGTCTCAGACAGTCAACCCGGTACGGACAAGTTCCACCCTTGTAGATTCGACCAGTGGGGTTNTGTTATTGAAGTGTTAAACCGCACACCCATGATGGACCTCATATTTACACACCATCACGAGATGGCAGGATCGTTTGAGAACTGTTAAGCTGTGTGGAAGAGATTGGCCTTCTCACAAAAAGGATACAGGTGAATCCTGATACAATTCAAAAATAAAGCCTTTGGCGTTTCAAGCCATTAAGATGAGTGACATGGCTGTAGCTGTCAATCAAATTGAAGTGGAAAATGAATGTGTTAAAAGACCCATCAAAGTCACTGTTAAAGCACTGGAAGCAAAAATAATATCACAACAAAAGGAAAGGATTGCAAAATAAAGAAACTCCATAAACTAACAAAGTGAGTTGAGCAACTAATGACTTCAACAGAAAATGTGTCCGAGGTGCAATCAATGTGTGAAGTGTTCTTAAAGCTATGTAAGGAAACCAAAGAGTTACATCAATCATTGAAACCAATATTACCTGAGGATGAAATTTTAAGCAAGATGAATGGTTTGAAACCTGAATTAAATGTAGTAAAGAAATAATACAAAAAATGGAAGAGTGGTTGTTTGATAAAAAGGAGCAATGTCTGCATGTCTAAAAGCATAGGCTGAAAGGGCTGCCCTCAAAGACAAACATGAACTGGAAGCTCAGGACGGGCAAATCAGACAGAAACAGGAACTGCTTGAATTGCAAATTGCTGCTCACACTGCAAAGGTTGCTGTATTGAGGTATTCTGATGTTCAGAGCTCCAGAGCCCATTCAAGTGGAATGAATTCATATCTGGAAAGGTCAAAACGCAAAACATCTCTCAGATCCTCTGCTATGGAATTTGTCCCATAAAGTTCAAACCATCAGTTCCATCATCCATCCACATGAGGCAGCAATACTGCAATTCCAATTAAGGCACAGCCCAAACATTTAAACCAGCAGTTCATTCATCCACCTACAGGAGACAACAAACCTGCCATGTCAAGGGGTGCAAGACCCAAGGAAACTGTTGTATCGATGTTGGATCAAAAATTCATGCTCTGAATTCAAAACCAAGCACGTTTCAAGACTTTCAGGAAACACATCTTGTACATCACACACAGGAATCCACCATGCATTTCATGCAGGAACCCATTCAATGTGCTAACCTCATGCAAACCAGTACAGACCAAGGCAATCACCTTGCCATCATGCATCAGCAAAATGACATTACAACAGTCCTCATTGTCATTAACCCCAAGAGATATACCAACCTGTGATGGAGACCCACTTGAGTACAATGCATTTATCGGAGCTTTTGAGCATGTAGTTGAAAGAAAGGCTGCCAGCAGCATAGATGGTCTGTACCTTTTGGAGCAGCATAGTAAACGACAACCAAGAGAACTTGTTAAGAGTTCAATACATGCCACCTGTCAGGTGGCATGTGTTGGAAACTCTTAACAAGAACTCTTACAAGAATGCCTTGGTAATGAGCAAAAAATAGCCACTGCATATATGGAAAAAGCACTTGGATGGCCACCAGTAAAATCAGAGGACATCAAGGCTTTGCAAGCTTTTGTCTTGTTTCTCTGTGTCTGCTGTAATGCTATGGAGCATGTCAGTTACATGTCAGAGATGAATATGCCAACCAACATGTGTGCTATTGTCCTGAAGCTACCTTATAAACTGAAGGAAAAATGGAGAAACATTGCTTATGAGCTGCAGGAGAGGCACCGTCGTCAAGCAGGTTTTACTGATGTTGTCAACTTCATTGAGAGACAAGTGTCTATTTCTTCTAATCCAGTCTCTGGAAACATTCAGGACACAGTCATCTCACCACCAAAGCACAGAAAAAATCGACTTCTTATGAGAGAAAGATGCTTGTTTTGGGTGTTTATCTGTTGGACACATGAGTAAAGACTGACTGGTGTCTGTCTTGCAAATTGTGTAACTTGAAGCATCCAACCATTTGTCAAGAACTCACGCTCAGAACAGGTGAACAAAAATGTTCGACACAGACAGGTTCAGACAAAAGGCAGGTTTATTACCAGGCAGGGTTCGGTACACAGGAGATCCGTCAGACAGGCAGAGGTATCCAAAAACGAGAGGCAAAAGGCACGGTCAAAAACAGAAACGAGGTCGTATACAAACAGACTATGACTTGACTATGGCTATGAAGAAATGCTGGGACGAGGCTAGTGAAGTACAATGACTTGGCAGCAAGACTGTGAGACACACAGGGTAATATACACGAGGTAATGAGGGAAGATGGGAAACAGGTGAGGGAAACCATCGGGGAGCAGGTGTGATGAGAGGGGGGCAGGGTGTGTGGGAAGTGAATCTACATCAGATACAACAGGTTAGTGATTTCAAAATAAAACAGGAAGGAGAAGATATAAAATGTCCAAACATAAAGCAGAAACTTGACGGACATGACAGTACACCCTTGGTTCTTGGTTGAGTCGTTCAGTTTGACCATTTGACTGTGGGTGAAAACCTGATGATAGACTGACTGTGGCCCCCAGCAAACTGCAAAACTCCTTCCAGAGCTTGGAGATGAAGTGGGGCCCTCAGTCGGAGACCACATCCTCTGGGAACCCACGGATTCTGAAAACGTGATTGATGAGGGCCTCTGCTGTTTCTTTGGCTGAGGGAAGCTTGGGAGAAGTGAGATGAAGTGCACCATTTTAGAGAGTCTATCCACAACTGTTATAACCACAGTGTTACCACTAGAGGGAGGGAGACCCGTGACCATGGGCGTTTGGGCACCGAGAGGGATTGAAGCTCCCCTTGTGGTCTCTGATGGGACACTTTGAACATGGCGCATGCTGTACAAGCATTGACATATTCTGTAATATCTTGTTTCATGTTGGGCCACCAAAAATGCTGCTGTACCA